TATATAATTTGCGACTCGGTGTTGAATGGTGGAAGGTAAACCTTTAACTGTAACTCCGGCATTGCATGCTCCTGAAGCCCGAAGACTCATCTGAGAAGCAAATGCTAACTCGGATGAACTAAATGTCGAACGCATTTCATCTGTTTTTCGCCGTTTCGTTCGCTCACTTGCTTCATCAAAATTCAAAGGTGGTCGACCCATTGCACTATAGCTTTTTTTCTCTTTGTTTCGTGCTTGAACAATCTGAAATTATTTAAATGTTTAGTAAATATAAAAAAGTTTAAAACTTTAATAGAGATAAGCGTTAAATAACTTACACAAATATTTGTTGAGGCTTTTAACCAAGTGTCATGTGTCTTCAAAAATATTTTTTTTGTTCGGTTACTACTTTTCGATTTTGTTTTTAATTTTGTCAATACATTTTTTAGTTTCTTTTTATCATCTGTTGAAAATTGGAAACAAATTTTTCTTCTTAGACACAACTGTGATTGCAAAATATCAAGCTGGTCATCTAGATCTGAAGATAACTCGTTTTTTAAAACTTCAAAAACTTCACTTCGAGGAATTTGCAAATGATCTTTTTGTGAACCTTAGATATTAATTGAAAATATAATAATTGAAAAAATCATAAAAACATTATAACTTTACTAAACTAATTAAAAATAAAATAAAAAGTAATCGATAATATATTATATTATATAAATTCGATAGATAAGAGAAAGGTAAAATATACTGTTAATCATATGATTGTATATTGATATAGTTATTATATTTTTTGAGAAACTGATTTTGTAAAATTCAATAAAACTATACAAAAATTGTCGTAGCTGAAGTAAAAAAGACGTCGTAACCGAGGGAGTTTGCCCCCCCCCCCTACACTCTAATTGTCGTAGCTGAAGTAAAAAAGACGTCGTAACCGAGGGAGTTTGCCCCCCCCCCCCCCTACACTCTAACTTTGTCAAAATCTCATTCATGTGTGCTACTAATTTTATTGTAGTTTTATTGCACTTAACAAAATCAGTTTCTCAAGAAACATAATAACTATATCTATCTACAATTTGACTGGTTTTGTAAAGAAAACAAAACACCGCCATTTTGTTTACAAAAAAACACGATTAGCACTACACAATATAAGTTAATGAAGTAATAGGTAAAAATAGGTGGCTTTTCTTTTAACCAATCTTTAGAATACACTTTTATGAACAACATCCAAATAATAACTAAGCGGAATCTCGCAGGTCCACTACTTTTTCAATGCTTGAAAAATAGGTTAAAGAAAATAAATAAACTTTATTCTGTACTTTTTTGTTCGCACTTTTTGCATAAAATTTAGAGAATTAATATAACTTTTTACTAAAATATTATATAAATATCTTGAATAGTATCGTCCATAGTTAGTTTTTTAGTAACGATAAATAACTTTTTTGTATACGATACTTATTTAACCACATTTTTTTTTTTGTTTTTAAAACGCCAATTAAGTGTTTTTAATAACAGATGTTTAACTGCGTAGATATAGGTAACTTTAAAATTTATACAATTTTTTCTTATACAACAAAATGCAACAGGGCTTTGTTTATGTAGTTTCATAATAATAAATTCAAAATAGTGATTTCTTTTTTTGACTTTTGGACAGCTTTTTTGAAAATTAGCCCACTGTGCAGCATTTTGAGGATATTTATGTTTTAGTTAAATTCTATTTGGACTCGTGATTCAATTCGATTATCAAATCAAGACCTGCCTTGAATTGTGATTCGATTCAAAACTAAAAAAGGTGATTCGCAGAGCCCTTATAACTCTAAAATTATTACATTATTTTTTAGTAAAATTAAAATATTAACTTTAAGGCAGGATTAATTTAAATCTTACCTTGTGTGTGAAAAAATGTTATATAGATTTATTAATGACGCAATATGCTAGTTTTTTAGATTAGATATATAAATATATAACTGATAAACAAAAATGTTCTTGAATGATGTCAATAAAGGAAGAATTATTGAGATGTCATCATTTGGAATGACTCATAGAGATATTGCCAAAAATCTTGGATGTGGAAAAATTACAATTACTTATTTTCTGAAGAAGTATAATGACACAAAAGAAACAGCCTGTTGATCTGGATCATGGAAAAAGAGAAGAATTACAAAAGGATAAAATAAAAAAATTGTTTTATAAGATATCAAAGATAAAAGAAAATGCATTGTTTAACCTGCCCATAAAAATAGTAGCATTTCTACAGATGAGATAAAATTATAAACTGGTATTACAAAGATCTTTAAAAAACTCTAATTTTTCATTTACATTCTCAAATACAAAATTTAGATTCTCATTGAGCTACAAGGAACAAGTTTTTTGGGCAGATGAATCTCTTTTTGGCTTAAAATGCTTTCAAAGATTATGGGTTTTGGGATGCAGTATGTTAATGATGTTAACAAGCTATTTCAACAAGATTTTATGCACACTGCAAATTGTAACTTGTAATTTAAAAAAAAAATGTGCTAACCTTGGACTGATGGCATAGTCAATCACCCAACTAATTGTTGTTAATAGTATTCCTCAGAGAATCAAAGCAGTCCTTGCTGTAAAAGTTGCTATGATTATTTTTTTTATATAAAAACAATTTTATGAGATAATATTATAATAATTATGCCAAAAATTATTTTGAATAATGAATGTGTGGTAATACTTTTGTATTTGTAAAAGCAACAATACAATATGAAAATGTTTTTTTATGGTTTGACATTGGATTTCTTAAAAAAAATATTGAATTTTTTTTTCTTTTTTTCAATATAAATATATATTTAATTGATGCTTGTGTATAAGCCTGCTGTTTCTATATCTATTTTAACACTTAATACAACTTCTATAGAAGCAGAATTATGGGTTGTTATTCACTGTGCTTGTTGTTATTAGTTGCCTTAGTTGCCTTATAGTTCTGAAAGTTTTATTTTTTTGAATTTTAGTAATTCAATTTTATATCAAAAAAATTTTAGCTAACCGTCTATTTGATAACACAATTAGGAACGATTCTAAAAAGAAAAAAAACTACTCTGCTGACTGAAATGTGTCAAATGCCAACTATATTCGTCAGGGCCGGATTTAGCATTTTGAGGGCCTTAGGCCAAAATATTATTGAGGCCCCTAATATAATTTAAATTTGGGGGAAAAAAATTTTCATTTTTTTACTTTAAAATTTTATTATTTAAACAAAACAGTGTGAATATTGAGAATTTAATGAAAAATAAATTTTACAACATTTTTGATTTTTCTACACATTATTTAGTTTTCAACTTTTTATGTTTATTAAATTTTGGGGCCCCCAAATGTTGGGGGCCCTAGATCGTGGCCTAGTCGGCCTATAGGTAAATCCGGCCCTGATGTTCGTAAAAAACTCTACTATAAATTGAAAATCAAGAGGGGGAGAGACATCCTCAGACACACACACCCTTAAAACCACCTCTGTTTTTTATATGTATTAAATAGGTATTTTTTGGGTAGTAAAAGGCTGTAAGTTCATGTTTAGACTAAAAGATTTAGTTATTAAGCTTCAAGGGCGTATTCAAAGTGGGGACGATTGCTTTCTTTAGATGTTTCAAAAATATTTTTTTTTCTAAATTTATATTCAACAAAACATGTTATTTAATAATGTAAGTAAATTAGGGAGTGTCTAAAAGTGATTTTTAGAAATTTGAATATTTTTTAGAAATTTTAGTATTTTAATAATTTTGTGTGGTGCATAAAAATTGAACTTTTGGGATATCAATATGACGTAATTTTATAGTTAGATTGATTTAAACAATGTAAGACTAATATTTTGATTTAACTCTGTGATTTAAACCTTAAAATTGCACCTCCCCCCCCCCCCCCCTCTATATTTTAAGAATCTTGATTTACCGAATCAAGATATAATATCTGGATATAAATGTAGATATCTGGGATTCAGCTCAGTATTTAAATAACAGCTCAGTTAAATAATAATCTTTAAACTGGTCTTTTATAAACAGTTATTGATGTAAACATAAATTTTTTGTCACCATCTTTACCCCTCTTTTCAATTTAAGTTTTATTGAGTAAAGTTATTTTTGACGAAAAGTTTTTTAGTTATCCTAAAAGCTAGTGAATCAATGACAAGATTCTATTAGAAAATTACATTCATATGATTTAATATTTAAAAAAAAAAAAAAGAGTTGAGAAGCGCGTGCTTTTAAACTCTCACGGAGTCTTTCACTTTTGGCGTTACACAAATTCTGAAAGTTTTTTAATTCTACCTAGTTTACGTGTTTTATCAAGATACCTTACCTCTGGTGAGATAAGGCATTTACATAACTTCTCAGCTACTTCTAAATTTGCCTAAACTCACTTTTTAACTTATTTTGACTACCCCAGCGGATACGGGCAAAAAAAAAAAGCATCACTTTTAAAGCGCTCTTATTTGCATAAAATATCTAAAGTGCTCAAAAGAACTACTGTCTTGAAAAGCTTTTTTTGTTTCCGTTAACCACACTATTGATGCTTTACTCTTATTAATATATAAGCTTGAACGTAAATACGCTGCAAATTTCGGAAAACAACTATGAAAAGGTTACAACATTTTTGTTGTGCTAGAACTTTTTAGCGATCTTTTAAGTACAAAATATTGGTTAAAAAAAAAGAGTATTAGAGAAGACATTACTTGTAACTTCAAATGTTTTATTTGAAGTTATTTTAATTTTTACGTTATATATTATATAACAGAAAATAGATGATGCACTATGATGCATATTTATAAGTTATTTTGTTTATTTTTCAATTAAATTGAAAAAAAAAACACAAAAAAAAAACTACTATAATAATTTTAAATTTTTTGAATAAAATATTTCCCTAATACATTGCCTAATATCAATAATAATATTTTATAAAACTGTTTTTATTTATCAAAGTGAAAAAATATATAAATACTTTTATCAATTTCAACTCTTCTTGTATTACTTGATCTAAATAAGATCAAGTCTTAAGGTAAGGTCTTCAATATTCTTTTCTAAAAAATAATTATTATTTTACTAGCCTATTTACAAGGTTTGTTAATGCAATTATAAGAAGTTTTTTTTAAGAAGAAAAAACTTTTTATACTGAACTCTTACGTAAAAGATTCAATTTTTCTGTTGTCATATTTTCTATTGTCATATTTTTGGATGAAAAAATGAAGTAGCATTGAGCAAATTTATCAAACAGTTTTTTATATTTTGTACAAGTTTCAATTGCTTTTTTATGCACATCTGTTTTAGATAATCCTTCTTCATAAACAAGCTTTGGAATAGCATTACACAACTCAAGTAATGAGGACTTCTAAATAAAATATTTAAATCTAAATAATCAAATAAGATATTTTGTATAATACTATACTTATTGAAATCACAATAATATTCCAGGTATATCTAATATTACTTTATTAATAAGAAAAAGCATAAGTTAAAAACTATACTTTAAAAAATGTACTTTGAAATATATGTTATAGAATAATACATAAAGTATAAAAATATATATTTTGAGTAAAAGAAGAAACATTTAAACTAAAAGTAGCAACTACTTTAAGCATTTTATGCACATGATTTCCAATAAAACTTTTCCCATGATATACTTACCGTTGCACTTTTAACTTTGAAGAACTGTCTCTATTTTTCTTGTGCATGGCCCCTGTCTTTTTTTTAATGAGTGCTTTTACATAAAGTGTTAAATTGACTAACCTATAAAAATATTTACAATATGTATTTAATGAATATTTGTTATTTAAAAAAAAAGTAAAAATTTTATGCATTATTAGATATTAGATAATACTGGGATATAGTCACTTTTTGATATTATTGATACATTTAGCATAAATTTTGATTTCTTGTGTAATGACAATTTACAGATTACGTATGTGTCAAAAAGTAATAAATAAAAATATATAACTTATCTGCATAAATCTTGTTCAGATTATTTTGAATTTGAAACAAACAAGTGAGAGGGTTTTTTTACTGTATATTTTTGAAACAAGATCCATAAATGAAAATTAGAGATTAGAAATAAAGGGTAAATTTCAAAACCTTTTCTTCTTTTTTGCAATTGATAAAATCAATATCAGAATTGTAAAGAGATTGAATATCCATCTCATCAGAACTCTGTGTTGCAGCAAGCAAAGCCATATCATTGAACCATTCAAGTTTTTCATCAAGGCAGATAATCTCATATTTAAGACTTAATAACTCCTTCTTTTCTCCTATAAATACTTTATATTTGTCTGAGCAACTAGAAGCATAGTTATTTTTCATTTTTAATGCTTCTGCTGCCATTAAAATATATAATTCATGAACTTCATTTTCAAAGTAATTGAAAAAATTTAAATAAATTCCAAGAGCCATGTGAAGACTTGGCAAAGATACCTTTAAAATATTTTATAGAGTACAATATTGATTATATATAAACACAACAACAACAACAACAACAACAACAACAACAACAACAACAACAAAAACAAAAAGCTATTTATTTTCTATAAATCATTTTTACAATAGTTTTAATAATACTAATAGTAACAATAAATACAATGAAAAAATTATCATTTATATTACACTGGTAACTATAAACATAAATTTAATTATAATCATAAGTTAATGATTTATTAGGATGGTGTCACTCATAAAAAATTCTGATCAAAGGAGTAATACCAAAACACACACATTTACACACAGACAGACACACAATCACACACTTATCTAACTTTTTTATTTTAATGAGTGATTTTATGTTAATAGTAATATTAAGTTTAATAATATAAGTTTTATAAAGTTTAATAATAACTAACAAAAACAACTATACCTGATCTAAAGGTATTTTTAACATAGGCTCTGTTAAAGCATTATTAAAATACTTGGCGTCTTCCTTCACACCTCCCTTTTCCATAAATCTTTTATAATCAATATATAAATCTTCTAAGGTATGAACTTTAATTTCTGTCCTTTGACAATCAATATCTTTCATTTCACTAGATGTTGCATGACAGAAAAGGCAAGAATGCCTCCCTGAAAAATACAAAAAATATATGAATTTATTCAAAATTATTATATGAAATATTTGTCCTGTTTTGTTAGTTAAAAAATACCTGAAGCTTCTGAAATACCATAGAGTGCACAAAGAAACTGATAATCCCCAAAAACAAAGACTTTAATGCTATAATCCCTATGGTGAAGTTATTTAGTTATTATAACATTCATAATCATTCTCAACTATTTTAGAAAAATAAATATTAACTTAATTAAAAATTAATTGAACTTTAGCAAATTTGAATAACCTCTCAAGTTTTTATTTAATTTAATCTAATTATTTTCATTATAATCACCATAATTATTATTATAATCACCATAATTATATCATTATAATCACCATTAGTTACTTATAATTTCAATGTAAATATTAAATGCTGTTAAGTAACGTACAAAAATATTTTTATTCAACTATAAACAGCACACTTATTTCATAAGTCTTATTTTAATGCAACTTACTTATATTTCATTTTTTGAAGATCGTCTATTTGCTTTTGAAACCTTGCCATAGCTACTTTGATGTTTATTCTATAGTCTTTTGCTTCAAAAATGTTAGAAACTATTGTGTTATCTTTGTTGTTAGGATTATGAGTATTTAATATGTGGTAACTCATTTTTAAACTGCCTCCGCCATAGTCTCCGCCAATTTTGATGTGAATCTCTTTATGGGCTATAAATTCATGATGAATAAGACTATTGCAGCTAAAAAAATGAATGAAAGTATTATGTAATATAATTTTATGTTTTTAAACTTAAAATAAAATTTACAAAAATTACTTTTAAAAAAGCTAACTAATAACACCATAATGTATCATATAAATATGATACATTTTAGTGTTATGAAACTGGTGGTTTTTTAAAGAAATATTTCCAATAACTGTTGAGAATACCGATATATAATACCTTTTAAAAAAAAATTAATTCTAACCACCCTATTTTGCACTTTTTTCATACTATTCAAGTCATAAATTAAAAGTTGAATGAATGACTTTGATTGCATTAAAATTTAAATGAATTTAAATTTTAATAAATAAAATATAATTTATAATTTTTACTGATAAATTCATGTTAAAATTTTAATTTTTTAAGATACTAAATTCAACACTGAAATAGAATTATCTAGTTCATTGGAAATATTTTCTAGTTTAAACCACCATTTCTAACACAATATACAATGTTTTCTTTTCATATGTTAGTATTATTATTAGTAAAATTACCTATCTAATTTTTCAAGATGTCTTAGGATATTTGCTGGTAAATCCTCTATATAACCCCAAGATGCTAACTTGATTTCAAAAGTACCTTTTTTTATTTTTGAAAAGCAAATGGAGCACTTTCAACAATAATGTCATCTCCTGATAATCTATCAAAAATTACCCTTTGGGAAGCATGAGAGGCTATACCAATATCAAATGTCTTTAGCCATCTATATATAAAAAAAAGTTATGTTTCTGTGAATGCAATAAAACCTGAAAAAATAATCACCTACTTAGATATTTTTTTTTGCTTTTCCCAAGGCAAACTTAAACCTGCTTTTATCGCTACCATTTCAGCAGGTTTCGCCAACGTATATCGAACCGCATGAACATTTTAGCTGGTATACGCCAGGATCTGTGTTTAGTGGTAATTTAGTTTGACTGTTGCAGAAAATATTTTTTAAATTAGGAGTTGATGTGAAAATAACCTTTATGTTTTGCTTTCGAAATTCTTTACGAAGTTTTGGACCAACAATTGGTATCCAAGGTAGTTTTATAAAGGGTTGGATATCTAATGGTTGAAATGTTTTTTAAACCGTTTTTTAAATAGTCGATAGTAAAATTATTTAGAATATTCTACTCGGGGCCATTTTCAACAAAGATGTTTAATAGAAAATCAATTTCTTTTTGTAGGTGTTTTTGATAGCATATTCTTTTAGCACGACAAAAAAATCCTTTCAAAACGCCAATAATAATGTTAAGATTAATGTTCGAGTTAGGTATAAATTGGATGGATATAAATTGACTATAGGAAATGAAACTTGAACTTCGTTAGGATCTAATATCCATTGCTTAGCCTCATTTAGAAAACTATTAGAATTCATAAGTATACTTATATTTTTGTTCAGAGTCGGTTGAATAATTTTAACAAGATAATCAGATGTTCCATATGGTGGTGTGTTAATTGTTGATAGAACAGGGCGCATTGGGTAATCTTTTTCTAATTTGTGAGCTTTAATAACTCCGTAAATCCTTGGTGGGTTACAATCTGATAGATAGATTTTAAAGTATGTATTTGTGTCTGGTTTACCTTCTTTTCTTAATTTGCACAATTATAACTATATATAGTCTTTTTACAATGTTGGACTGCTAGAAATAAGGTTTGAGTTCAAAATCTTTTATATATATATGCAAAAAATACAAAATCATGCTAAGATCTTGGGATGATGTTTACATATGATAAGTTCTACGAAAATAAATGTACTTTAAAACCATCATTTAAAGTAATGAATCTCAAAATCACTTTAGTTATTAAATAAATACTTCATTAGCATTTACTTTATCAGAGATATGCATACTAAATAGGAAGAACATTCAAGCCTTAGACCCACAACTTAAATTTATTATATTATATATTAAATGACTTTACTAACTAAAAATGCATTAAATTTTCATTTCTGGAAGTTATTCTGATACAGCGAAACACTTAAATTTTGAGAAAAATATGAAACATAAATCCAGAATGATTTAACAACAATAGACAAAACCAACAATACTTTTAAAGCAATAATTTTAGGCCTTCACTTTTTATTTATTTGTTGGAAATGACCCTTTTTATTTTTAATCCATACTATAGAGCATCACTTGATTCTATAGTATTAACAATAATTTACTATATATAGTCTTTTTACAATGTTGGACTGCTAGAAATAAGGTTTACGTTCAAAATCTTTTAGTGAACTGATCAAAACTGTATGTTTTGTATTTAAATTGTATGTAAAACTGTATGTGAAATTGTATGTAAAACTGATTTAGTTTTAAATAAAATTTTCAAAACCTTTTAGTGAACTGATCAAATTTTTTCTAAAAACAATCAGAAGCAATGGAAGAAAAATGATTTATTTATTTTATATAGATTTTTACTATTTTGCATGACTACCCTGCATGAATATTATAAACAAATAAATTTAATAATGTATTAAATTATAGTTGTAATTTTTAGGGTAATCTTTATAAATTTGTTTTTAAATTTTTTTTTTAATGTTTACTTGAAGATAACCTAAATATTTTATTTATAAGGTTATTGTAATTAAATATTAATAAAAACGTAAATTGTTGTAAAAAGTTTTTAAAACGATGAGAAATTCATCAGTCTTATTATAAGGAAGCACTAGTGCTTAAGTAGTGCAATTTTAGAATTTACTATTTTTAAGCAACATATTTTAACAAGTGAACTTTTTCCCTGGCTTTAAAATTATCCATTTTATATATAACATGTAATGGGAGTGTACTTCCATGAACTTAAACTCACTCAAAATTGAACTAAGAATGCACAAAACTTGTGTCAAGAATCCTACTAAACATAGTCACTTTCTAAGCAATCCAGGGACCAAAAAAAGCTCATGTAATTTTAAAATTAAAAAGAACAGAACAGTTTATATTAAAATACCTGTTGAACTTTCTTCGCCCTGCAGGTGAAACTTCAGAACTTATATAAATACAACGGAAATTTAGCTACAAATACGAAAAATTTTCGTACACAATTGATGGATACATCCATAAATGGACATACGGATATTTTTCATTGAAATTACGGAAAAAATTTCTGTTTTTTTAACGGAAATTTTTAACGGTCTAGCTTTATGTTTCTTTATATATTTTCCTTTTTTAGTGTCAAACAAAGAATACACGAGTTATCTGAGATATTGTTAAAATTTGCAAAGAATGTAAAAATCAAACTAGTTTCACTTTAATTTGTTATATATAATTTTAATGTTTTGAAATTAAAGTATTGCAATGTGTATTTATTTTTAGTTTAATAACTTCCGTATTCGATTATTTGCCCGTACTAATTTAATATTCGTGTATGATCTTGATAAATTAAAGGAAAAAGAACTTTTCAGCGCGATGAAATTCAGTGTAACATTGTGCTTTTTTGTTTATTGCAATGTAAAATTAACATCAAAAATGTTAGAAAATTATTGTAGGATGTTTTCTTACTACGTTTGGGCAACGTCTTCAATATAACGTTGACCTATGTATCATTTATGCCATCATTCTTATAACTAAATAACGATAGAAAAGACGTTTGCTCTACGTAATTTCAGTCAAAATATAATGTTTACCTGAAGTCTTTATAACGTGATTTTTCTTAAAGTTTAACGATGCTCTAACGTCTAAATTTTAAGTCTTTCCAACTTCATTTAACACATATGTTACGTTGTCACAACGACATTTTTACATGCTTGCAATAACGTTAGCAAATTGACATTTTTTCCGCTGTTTCATTTATAACATCATGCCAACGTCTTCCTAACGACACGGAAAACGTTGAAATAACGTTGTCCTAACACCCTTTTTCTTATTGGGTTAGTATTATTTATTGTATTTAAACAGGGTAGCAGGAAAAAAATCCCCTGGTAAAATTCCCCTTTGAAAAAATTCCCCCTCTGCCCCTCCAAATAATCACCTGAGAAAAAATCCTTTTGAGAAATAATCCCTCCGAATACAATCCGAATACAAACTTGACAATTTGATGAAAAATTAAGTATTCTATATAAATATTTAAAATAAATAAAGAAATAAACATAACTATATGCTGACAATTTTTACGTGAAAAAAACTTTTTTTTTTTTTTTTATTGGGGACCAAGCTCGGTTGCCGATATCGGACCGCTACCGATTTAATCCATTCGGAATCAAATCGGACCACCGTCAGCTAGCCGATGGTTGGAGCGAAATATTTTACTCAAACCATCGGCTGCCCAATGGCGGTCCAACGCGATTACGTATGAACAAAATCGATGGCGATCCGATGTCGGCACTCGAGCTGATCGTGATCATTCAAAAACACTACAGATTTAGATCGGCCAGCCAACGTAAACCTTTACATTAAAACTTTCATCGGATTTATTTAATAAGACATGTAAAATACCTACAAAAAATAGTTTTATGTAGTTAAAATACAAAACGCAAGTATTAAACAAGCTTACACATTTTTAAATAAAGTAATTTTTATTTAATTGAATCTTTTTCATCAAAAAAATTGGATTGGTTAAACGTGCAATGAATATTTGCGAAAGATACTTTGACTTAAAACGAGGTTTTGATTTTTCAAAAAAACGAAGACCAGATATATTACTGATTTAGGGAGAAATGTAGGAGAGTGCTGCTACATCGATTGATCTATACCTGCCCCAACAGAAACCGTCAATCGATGTAGCAGCATTTCCTAATATGTTATCAAACCAAACGTTTAATTTTTTCCAATTTTAAAAAAGGCAAATTCTAAATTGTCAACTTTTTTTCTACATTACTTGATAAATATATATTGATTAAATCTTAAATCAATTGGTTAATTGATCAATGAATTAATAAAACTTAAAAATAGGTTTGTTAATTCAAAGATTGATTAGTAGACTAATAATATATTTATATTGTATAAACTAAACTTTCATGATATAAGAAGTAATTATAATTGTTGTTTATGTATCCTTTTCATAACGTTCTCTACTAATACAGGCCTAATCATTGCGCAACCGGATTTTTTTGTGGAGGCCTACTTTTTTACGGCAAAAAAATTATTTCTCCACGTTCAGACCAGATACAATGTCATGTTGTTTATGATATATATTTAAATAATGGAATATAATACAATGTTAATAAACTTATATTTAAACATGGAGTTTCAGATTTAATTTTAAAGCAAATAACATATTTATAAAATTTAGATTAAATTATCATGCCAAATAAATATTGTGTGTATGCTTGTTCCATCAACTATCAAAGTGGAAAAAACAGAATATCTAGTAAAGTTAATAAAATATCAGTGTATCGGTTTCCAAATGATAACGTTGAGCGGTTTCCAAGTGATAACGTTGAGCGTGAAAAATGGATAAAACCTATTTCAATATCTAATTTGGTTGTTACCAAGTATGCTGTTATCTGTGAGTTATACTGGCCTCCAAATTTTGATACAGTTATAGTGCGTGAAATAAAACGTCGACCGAAAAATCCTCCTTCTGTTTGGCTGGGAATACTTTTATCTTAAATTCCAACTGCTAATTCAACTAAAAGAACTACCAAAAGATCTTTAAGTGGCATTAGAAGCACATATCAGATGATGATCTAAACACATTTCTTGAAAGGGATAAAGCTAATTTTTGTGACATTAAAAACAAGTTTATCAATATCATTGATCACCAATATCCAGTTATATCGTTTATGGTTGATGTTATGTTGTTATACAATCTTTGCAACTTTTTAACGGAATACCTTTTTTTGTACAAAAAATTAATGAAAATCTTACCATTGAAACATTTCATTATGGGATTAAGTGTCAAATTTCTAGCTTAATAGTAAGTCGAATCATAACTGTTGACACCTGGTCTAAGTTTGATGAGATACTACCTTTTTTAAGCTCTTTGAAAATTGATAATAAAAAAGAAGTAATTATGCAACATGTTTCAGCTATGGGACCAAAATTAGTATGAGATAAACTTTATACACCTGAAATACTTATACGCTCTTTTGTATATTATTTATCATCAAGGTCATTACATAATCGCTAAAGAAATGATAATCAACTTCCGTTCATTTCAACACTGACTCGAATTACTTCAAAAGTTTCTAGTATTAATGAAAAGCAATTTATTTATTCAGTTTTTAACTCACTTCCGGATAATCAGAAGTTATGTATCATACTTCATGATGAAATATATGTTAAAAAAACTTTGCTTTACCATGGTGGAACTATTTATGGTAGATCGTAGTATAACCTAATGAAATTGTTGAAAACATTGTAGATTATGGCTGTTTTTTTTAAATGGGGGTCTAAAGGTGTTAAGTGAAATGATAGCAATATCAAAGTTACGATCTGATTTTTTGTTTGAAAATATTAATTTAACTAATCAAGTATTTGATTCAGTCAATGCTAATGTAAAAGCTATTATATGTGATGGAAAACGTGTCAATCAGGCTTTTTATTTTTAAATGTACACATTCGTTCCGGGAAAACCATGGTTAACAGTAGATGGAAAGTATTTACTTTATGATTTTGTACACCTCATAAAAAATATTCGTAATCTCTGGTTAACTGAAAAAGGAATATATATTTGACGAAAACTCAGCAAAATGGACTCATTTAAAACAGCTTTACAATGCAGAATCTAGAGGCTTTCTAAAGTTATCTGACCTGAATGAAACTTCTATTTCTCCTAAACCTGTTGAATGACAGTGTGTTTTGACGGTTTTAAGAGTATTTTCTGAAAAAACTTACGCTGCTCTTTTGCAACATCCTGACATGATTCATATTGATGTTAACAACACTGCTATATTCATCAATAAAGTCATTGTTTAGTGGATTTTAAATGTCAAAGCCATTGGTGCTGATACAAAGCTTAATGATCCTCTGCAGGCTGTTATCAACAATCCTGATGACAACATTTTAAATTTTATACTACAACTTGGTGATATGGCACTTAAAATGGCAGGTCCCAAAGTTAAGCGTATTAAACAGCTTTCTAAAGATACTGCAACTTGTATATATCAAACTTGTTATGGACTAGTATATTTAAATAGATATTTAATTAACACTACGCAAAACTTTGTACTTTTTGGTCAATTTACTGCAGATCACCTGGAAAAAGAATATAGTATACTTCGTCAAGGTTCTGGTGGTACATATTTTCTTAGAGTTCAACAAGTTATTGAAAAATTACGTATCAAAATGCATTTTCACTTTTGACGTTAAATGTAGATAATGACAATTTTATTCTGGTCATCAATGTGCGTTATGTGATTACAAATTGTCTGAAGACTGCTTCGAAATTCTTGATAACTTGCAAGATCTAGAATCTTGTATTGCTGATGATGTTAAAATGTCACTTATTCACATTGCTGGTTATGTCACACGAAATGATAACGAAAAAATGATTATGAACTTTTAGATCAAACAACGTTCTCTTATCAGAAATATGGTCAGTTTTCTAAATTTTTGGATCTTGATGGATTAAAAATTCCAACTGATGATTCGTGCCACTGGACATTTTTTTGCTTTTTAGTCTTTCAAATGGTTAAAGATCATGTATGCAGAAAATCTTTAAGTAGTATTTTTATGATTATATCAGACTATTATTTATTGGATATGGAAGAACATCATTGTGTAATATTAAGCAACATTTTTTTTTTTAAATTTATCTACCGCTGCCTCTCCAAGACTTTTCCGCCATTTTGCTAAGAACTTTATTATGTCAAAAAAAATGAAATTGGCAGGTAACTTAAAGTTAAGTTTCTTGCTTGTAGAACTTGTTCTAATATAGTTTTTAAATCATAAATATTAAATATAGTTTTAAAATACGTGCTTTTTGTCATTATATACTATTTAAAAGTTTGTCAAAATATTTATTGACAATTTTAAAGAACGATTTATTATTCGATAAGTACAACATGTTTGAAAAAGCTTAATTGAACAACTTTGGTATTTCCCGTTTCAAGAAATACCAAATTGTTACATCCTGCAATAACACATATTACTTTGTTGTCTTTATATTACATGTAATATAAAGTTAACTAAGTTATTGTGTTATAATGTATATGTGTTATTACAGGATGTAACAATGTGAAAAATTGTTAAAAGTCATAACAAGATAAAATTTGAAACAGTGTAAAGTAAAAAAATATGTAATGTAATTTAAATGTGTCTAATATATTAGTTTTAATTACAAAATTAGTTAAATACTTACAATTAACAGTTTTTGTTACAAAACCTTTCCATTTTGCCGAACCGGCAACGTTGCATAGTGACTCAGGACAATCAAAAAACGGCAAAAATTAAATAAAAATTGATAAAAATCGTAAATAAGTAATGTTATATTTTAAAATAATAGTTTTTAAGTCAAAGATTTCAAATTCGTTAATATCTAACGTTACCCGACGGACATTTGTTTTTAAAAGTTACGTTCTGAATGTGTTTTAAATGTCTTTTAAACGTCTTTTAAACATTAATGTTTAAAAGACGTTTAAAAGACATTTAAAATACATTTAGATCGTAACTTTAAAAAAGAAATGCCCGTCGGGTAAAATCTAACGAAAATATAACGAAAAAATTTTACGTTTATACGCGACTTCGTGTCATGGTTATTATATGAATATAACCGTACATATTACCATTAGATGTTAAACTCAATTACAATAAGTATTCAAAGATAATATAAGGGTTTTTAACCCCTTACAAAGGGTTAGAAAAATATTTTAGGGGATATTCAAACTAAAAATACAATAAATGTTTTTAAAGATTTATTTTAAAGATGTATTATATAATCTTTTGTATTATAAATTTACAAAAAAACTCAAAATTAAATAGTTGTTCAATAGAGAGAACTTTAAAATGTTTCCTATTTGATCTTTTTTTTGCTTCCGTCGAAATTTCGTGCATTAACTGGATGACTTCTAAAATACAACATGGGATACTGTAAACAAGATAACGGGTAATATCTAAGAACAAACATCATATGTAAGAAAAAAGGGATATTGAGCTATTGTTAACGTACAAATTATTACTTTACACAACTTTTTATCTTCAAATGATACCTTCTTTATATCACGAATTTTGCTTTTCAAATTTAACTTAGCCGTAACATGATGCTCCATAATTCTATAAAAACGTAATAAAAAATAATAAATGAAAAATAACTACTTTGTTAAACTACATCAATCGATCCAGCGAGCTTATTCAATTAATTGTAAACACACAGGAATAATTCACAAAGTATAATTTTGAAAGGTTCTTTACTTTTTTATAAATGTTTTAAATTCAAAGTTTAGACATTGAATTAAAGCTGAAACCTGTAGGGGAGAACCTAAATGAATGGGGCAGTTTTCGTTAAAGACTTTTTAAAAGTTGATAATGTTGTCTAATTTATACAGTGAAAATCGTTTGTTCCGCCAGCAGAAATGTGCTATTAATTCTTATTAATGCAACAGTTTTAATGTTATGTTTGGCCGTATCAACTTTGCAGTTGATGCAGACGGCTGCATTAACTGCAAAGTTGATGCAGCCGTCTCGCAATCGCGAGGCAGCAGCCGTCTGCAGCAGACCGCTGCTGCCTCGCGATCAATTTTAAGCGGTAAAATGTCCTTTCTTCCGTCTCCAGTGGCTTCCGCTTTTCTGTTGGCGACCGCAGCAGGAGTACTTTTTTGGAGGCAAAATGTTTTGGAGGCCGACGCCAA